AGCCTTTGGAAGTGTATTCGGGCGCAAGCGGGGTGAATGTCAAAGGCTTGGCCCAGATCCACACAGGCCTCGGCAACCCGGCCACCCGCCGAGAGGAAAGCGGCTGCTCGGCCGGTTAAGATCCTCGCTCGCCTTTCGGGTGTGTCGTGGGAAATCTGCAAAATAGCTGAATACATATCAGCACTCTCGCTGAAGCGACCTGTGAAAAACAAATGCGCCGCCTGGAGCTCCTGCACATGCTTGTCACCAGGTGAAAGCTCCAACAAGAACTCCAGCAGTGGAGAAGCAGCCTCAACATTCAACTGTTCATTGTCTTTCTTGGTCACTTCACATTCACTATCCGGCATGAAGGACGGATGCCAGTGATGCATTTGCTCTGTAAAGGCCTTTATTATTTGCGGTATTTGAGAAGCTTGTCTGCTCTTGACGAGTTTGACGGTTTCACATTTGTTGCTCTTGTACGAGTTCAGATAAATCTTCAGACCTTTGACTTGGCGGGGCTCTGACAACAAGCAGGCCAAGGCGCGGGTTATCTCCAGCGCCACGCAACAAATGTCACCTGGATTTGGCTTTTGTTTCCCCTCAAGCAGAGAAGTACAGCGAGCAAAAATCTCCTCACAGCCGTGCCCGCCACTTTGAAGCAGGGACTCCATTTTGAAAATGGTGGCCGATAGATTATTTGGGCAGAGCGTGGACAGAAAGACAGCGACCAAACCTTGGCTGAGACCTTCGGCAGGCTGGATCTCCTGGTGATGGTCAAGCCAACTTTCTAGGGTTGAGATGACTCTCTGGAGGTCGGACAATTCCATTTTGCGCATATGGGACACGGTTGTTGATGCGTGAGTACTGAACGCTGACATGTAGAGGGAAGTAGCCCGCACCAGTTCGCCGGCCTTGAGCAACTTGTCTGCGTCCTCACACAGAACTGAAACCTTCACGCTGGGTCTCACCAGGGCTGTCATTATTATTATCTTCTACTGGTTGCACACCAACACGAACGACACCTGCCAACACAAAAGTTAAGATTTAAATTTCATTGATCTTACTCGTAGAAAACATCAAATGTTATGGAAGGATAAAATGTCACTAATAACCCCACACAGCATGATTTATATAACATATGTCAAAACAATGATCATCCACGTTCACACCTTGGGACAATTTAGAGGGTTCAATCTGCCTGCCATACATGTTTTTGGAAATTGGGAGGAAATAAGAGTAAATGCACGCAGGCCCAGGGAGAACATGCAAATGCCACACAGGGAGGCCGGAGCCTGGATCGAACCCACTACCTCTGCAGTGTGAGGTCAACGCACTAACCACTGGAGCACCTGGCCGCCTCAAAAGTCTCTCTCTCTCTCAAAAGTCTCTCTCTCTCTCTCTCTCTCTCTCTCTCTCTCTCTCTCTCTCTCTCTCTCTCTCTCCTCTACTATATAAATATATATATATATGAAGAAATAGTACTACTTAATGGTTAAATTAAGCATTATTGCAATAAAAGGTGAAATAAAAAGCTTACTTAAATGTTTGAAAATACTTGAAAATACATTACGATTGACTAAAAGGTTAAATACAACCGAACTGTGCTTAAAAAAAAAGGTTTTTGTATTTTACTCAGTGATTCTTTTGTGTACCGCCACTGATACTCATAACAAACTTTGACAAACACCGGACAAATTGGCCAAGAGATGTGTAACTCCCTTGGTTGTGTTTTTTGTTTGTTTGGTTGTTTTTTTTTTTAAACACCTACCGTACCTGGATTTCTTCCCCAAGTAACACGAGCTTTCAATATCCAAGAGCAGACCGACCAAAACTTGCAGAATCCCAGACTTATTCAATATATTCGAAAACAATAAACAATACCTGCGCGGATAAATACGGCCGGTGTGAGTTCAAGTCTTGTCCCAGGGCTCCAGGGAACACACGACATGGGCCCCATTTGCAATACGTAATTCAATAGTGCTCGGCTCAGCGTTGCCACGACAACTCAACATGGCCGTCGAGCAACACAAGTTGCAAATGTTAGCACAGAGACAAAGGCATGAAAATATAGCCCAACGCCTCCGAAGTTTGTTGTCTCCCTCCTTCCGTTTGAGACTTACCAGCGCGTGAGCTGTGGTCCTCTTGAGCTCTGGTTGTTGCCGTGGCAACCGTACACGACAACTTTGCCTGAACACCATTTCGCGGCTCATTGATGGCACTCTGTTCGATTCATCAACTTTTTTTTAAAATTTATTTCAAACTTTTTTATCCACTAATACATACAACAAAGACCGACATAGAATATCACGGTGAACTACTAAAAATGAATCCCTCAGGAATAATGTAAAAAAATGTTTAAGTTGTGATCCGACATACGGCGTTACCATCATTGCAACTGCGCATGCTCACAAGGTGACGCAATTGATTGCTACTTTCGACCGCTCACTTTTGACAATGCTTGAGCCACGGCTTCCTCCACGTCGCTTTGGAGATACCGACACACAAGCGATGGCAAGGAACTTCTCGTCAAAATACCTTCATCGTACCCATCAGCTGTGCCTTTAGCTGCATGCTCGGTCATAGTTTGGATGACTTTATGTTTACTGCTTCTTCTTTCATTTTTGGGCTGATTCTGTATACAGTACTTCAAATTGCAAGCCAACGTTAAATCGCGCATATCTGCGGCGACTGATGGAATATATATGTGTATGTCAGTGGCGGATGCTGGTCTGTCAAGGAGGGGAAGCTCAATTTCGGCCTACATCATAAAATGTGTCCGTTTGTTTATATGTGAATTCTACTCTCCGTTCGTTTTCAAAAAAAAATGAGAAGGTTGCCTTCACCATAATATTGGTGATTGGCTCATTTCGCTGTCAATCAAAATGAGATTCAGCCTCAGCGAGATCATCCAATCATGATGAAGAATAGCTGAGCTTCTGCACGCCCACTGTCCATAGACTCCGAGAGGCGCTATGCGTCCGATGGGCGGGACAAAACCAGCATTTATCCAATGACTCGTCTCGTTTCAATGCATTGGGACCAAACAACCAAACGACTCTCGACGCCCAGCGTCCGCTCGGTCGACGCTCAGCGTCCACACAGTTTAAGCACTAGTGATGGGAATTCCGGCCGTTTTTACA